AGTAGGGGAGGGAGGGAGAGAGAAAGGAGGAAGAGTAAGGGAGGGAGAGAGAAAGAGAGAGAGAGGAATAGCAGCAAGGGAGAGGGAGGGAGGGAGAGAGGGAGAGGGAGAGAGTGAGAGAGAAGAGTAAGGGAGGGAGGGAGGGAGGAGGGAGAGGAGGAGGAAGAATAAGGGAGAGAGAGAGTGAAAGAGAAGGAAGAGCAGCAAGGGTGAGAGAGAGAGAGGAAGAGCAGCAAGGGAGAGGGAGAGGGAGGGAGGGAGAGGGAGAGGGAGAGGGAGAGAGAGAGAGAGAGCAGCAAGGGGAGGGGGGGAGGGAGGGATGGAGAGTTACGAAAAGATATCTACTTCGCCTTCCATGAGAAAACAAGGATTCCTGATTTTCTGAATAAGCCGCTGTGTAAAGACTATGCTTTGTACTTTATAATCTCGTCTAGTTCTTTAATTTCTAAAGTGAAAAAATGAAATGATTAAATAGTAAGATATCTGTTACCGCAAAAATAGGCATTATTAAGATTGTTGTAGAGATAGGCGTAGTAGAAGGGAGGGGGCGTGTCGAAGAGGGAGTAGTGTTGAGGGAGGTAGTGTTATGGAGAGGTGGCCAAGAAGGCTGTAAGGTATTAATAAGGGAGGATGGGGTAGTTGATGTAGGTTGTAGGTGTAGAGGCGTTGAAGTTGAGCATGTTGGGAGAGTGGAAATGTCTCTTGGGGGTTGAGTGTTGACTACTCTACTAGTAGGCATTGAGGAGGGGGTAGTTGTTGCAGTGTTCGGAGCCGTGGACAAAGGAGAGCCTGGGGTCAGGGGATCGGGAGGATTGGAATTGTTGGGGCTATTTTGGTGAAGGGGCAAGCCTCTTTGCCCCTAATAGTGGGGTTACGTTTTCTTTGTTGGCCATGCTAAGCCAGGAGTATGTTGGGGATAAAAACAGTCCACCCCTCAGGGTCCCCTTGAGGGGTAAGGGCTAGATAACTAAATCAGGGGAATACCGTGCCCATGGCTCCCTCAGGCAGTTCAGGACTGGCACAAAGTCAGCCTTTCATCCTTTCAGCACGGCTCTCACACCTTAGGAGGTGGATAGCAGAAGGGCTTGGTGAAGGGACAGAAACAAAAGTGGGAAGGGAAAAAAAGACCATGCATAATTAGTTGAGTCGAGGGCTGAGTCCCAAGGTTGGGGAGTTCCCCATCATTGGGTCCCAGTCTCCGCCTCCTAAGCCCCCCCCCCCCCACGGCAACGGGTAAGGGATTGGGGGGGGGGAGGGAAAGGTTGAGCGAGAGGGAAGGGAGAGGGAGAGTGAGAGGGATGAGAAAGGGAGAGGGAAAGAGAAGGGAAAGGGAGTGAAAGGAAGACGGAAGGGAGAGTGAGAGGGAAGGGAGAGGGAGAGAGAGGGAGGGAAGGGGAAAGGAGAGCGAGAGAGGGAGAGGGCGGGAGATGGATGGGAAAGGGAGAGCGAGAAAGGGATATGGGGTGAGAGGGAGTGGGAAGGGGAAGGGGAAGGGAGGAGAGCGAGAGGGAGAGGGAAGGGAGAGGAAGAGGGAAGGGAAAGGGAGAGAGAGGGAGAGGGAAGGGAAAGGGGAAGGGAGAGTGAGAAAGGATTGGGAGTGAGAGGGTTGGGAAGGGGAAGGGAAAGGGAGAGCAAAAGAGTGAGAGAAAAGGGAAAGGGAGAGGGAGAGGGAAGGAAAAGGGAGAGGGAAGGGAGAGCGAGAGAGGGAGAGGGAAGGGAAAGGGAGAGCAAGAGAGGGAAGAGAGAGGGAAGGGAAAGGGAGAGGGAAGGGAAAGGGAGAGCAAGAGAGGGAAGGGAAAGGGATAAAGGGAGAGGGAAGGGAAAGGGAGAGAGGGAGGGAAGGGAAAGGCAAAGGGAGAGCGAGAGAGGGAGAAGGAAAGGAAAGGGAAAGTGAGAGGGAAGGGAGAGTGCGAGAAAGGGAAAGGAGCGAGAGAGGAAGAGGGAAGGGAAAGGAAAAGCGAGAAGGGAAAGGGAGAGCGAGAGAGGGAGAGGGAAGGGAAAGGGAGAGGGAAGGGAAAGGGAGAGGGAAGGGAAAGGGAGAGCGAGAGAGGGAGAAGAGAAAGGAAAGGGAGAACGAGAGAGGGAGAGAGAAGGGGAAGGGAAAAGGAAAGGGAAAGGGGAAAGGGAGACGGATGGGAAAGGGAGAGAGGAAAGAGAAAGGGAGAGGAAAAGGGGAAGATCACGATCTTAATACTATCAATGTCATTTTACTATTTAACCTTTTTTTTCATTATTTCGTTATTCCTTATCACCAAATTATTGTTACTTATCATTAACATTGTCATCTCTTCCTCTTCCTCTCCTTTATTTATTTACCTATCAATTTATCTATCTCCCTCTTCACACATTAAAAGGTCACGTACAGATGTAGGGGCACGGCAGACACACACGTCCAACTTGCATAAAAATTCATCAGAAATATCACTCTTAAAACATTCAAAAGTTAAAAGAACCTCTTAAGTCACTAATGGCATCAGGTTTCTAGATGAACAGGTTTGTC